AAAAAAAAAAAAAAAAAAAAAAAAGTCTCTTCCAAAATTTATCTCCCCAGCAGCAGTCACTGTTACCAGTTTCTTCTATTGCAAAAAAGTTGGATTAAAACATAATAATTTGGATCTTTTTCTTAGCAAATTTAAGGTCACTGTAATTCAAGTGAAGAAAATATATCCCAGAGAAAGTGAAATTTTTATTATTGGGGAGAATGCTTACATTAAACACCAAAATACGCTTAAAAAAAAACAAACCATGCGTGATCTCAAGGCAGTAGCATTTCTGATGGGTGGGAGCGGGCAGAGTGAAGGAGTGGGAGGAGCATTCACAGCAGTCCTCCCTGTGCCCTGCAGCATCTCCTTCCTCCTGGCCCTTCCTCTACAAGCTGGCTCAGCTCTTCCACTGGATCCGGAAGGCCATGTCTTCTCACCTCTACCATCTCCGCATCCGGGACTGAGCAGTCTCCACACAGCTGGACCTCTCCTCCCTCCACGCCTGCTACAGCAGAAACAAACCAGGGTGCCCATCCTGCAGGAATGGGGCCAGTCTGATTCCAGAAGGAGCCCATCTTGTCAGATGTGCTGTGTCTTGCTGCCCAGTCATCCTCCCCTTGGCACCCCACTTTGGCTTGCCTTGGTCCATAATGTGGCATCCAGAACAGTATCCTCTCATGCCCAGGGGCCCCTCACAAAGGAGTTTTGGAGCAGGGACTGTGTCCCTGAAACATTCCATCTTGGTAAAGGCAAGAGAGTATTCCAGTCAGGGTGTTATGGAGCTAAAGTTCAGAGAAAGTATAATAGAGTGACCCTTGTCCTACCATAAGCTTGAAGACTTACCTCTTAGAAGGGTACCAGAGGGCCGTACCTTAATTAGCTAGCATGAGATCTGAAGGGCCTCTGTCTGGTCTCCCATCCTCCTCTACAGGGCTGGCCTAATCATGTATCAGCATACTGTTCCCATGGTCCTGCAGTGGGCTTGCAGCTGCAGATCTCTCACTGTCCAGACTAGGCATGGCTTTCAGAACCACCTGGGTAGCTATTGAAAACAAAGTAAGCCTGCTCAGCTGTTATCATGGGGTAAAGTGATCTTGCTTGGTGCCGCTTGGTCTTCAGCTCAATTTTCCATGTTATAAGCAGCCATGCCCTGCTTTGTTACACTCAGCATCTCTGCCTACTCTGCCTCCTGTCCTACAGACTTGTTTCATGGCTGTTTTACCAGGTTCTGCCTATATCCTTGGTGCATAATAGTGCAGGTCCCCTCCCCCATGTCCTGTTGTCCTAGTTATGTTCTATTGTTTGTATAATGCCAATTTTTTTCTGCTAGTGTGGCCTTGGAAAGTAGGCCAGCTCAGAGGCTGCTGAGCTGAAAATGGAACTGAGTAATCAGGTGAACTGGAAGGGCTGGGGGCGGAGAGTAGAGGGGAGATAGTGAATAGTGAAACCTTAGGGAGGCATTGGGACCTTAGCATTTGAGGATTTGAAATGCTTCTGTGTTTTTTTCCCAGTACCTACAAGAATCTTACATGTTTCTGTGCAAGTAAATGTCAAACCCCACTGAGCTGCCAGGATTGTGAAAGGCTTCCAGCAGGGGCCAGACACTCTGCAGCCAAAGGCCAGGCAGGCCATCTTGTGCTGGGACCTCAGTCGGTGTTGATGCCAAGAATGTGGGAGATATTTGCTTGCTCTTCATTGGTTGACTTTCAGGGGTTGCTAGCCAACAACTTCTTTTTCAAGAAATGAATAAAGTACATAAACTTCACAGACCCTTAGAATTAAATCCCTAGGGCATGGTCCAACTCTGTAGGAAACAAGTCTGTGCTTTCTGGTATCAGCCTTTAAATAGAGCTTAGAACCTTGGAGAAAAAAGGAGTCAGATTGATTTGAAGCTCCTATGGAATGATTTCTTAAAATGAAAACCTGGCCCCGTTTACTGTTCATACTGGGTGTGGCTTTCTGAGGCCCACAGAATAAAATCCAGATGCTCTTCATGGAATTAAAGGCCTTCATGTACTGGCTTTGGCTCACATGTCCACTTTGACCTGAGGCCTCTGCTACTTGTGCACGCTGCCTTCCAGCTGCCTGCCAGTCACAGCTACCTGCTCCCTCAGACCCTGCACTGTAGTTCACGCTGTTCCTACCAAAGGCACCTGCTCTCTGCCTGTTGAGCTCCTCCACCTTCCAGACTTAACTGAGGAGTCATTTCCAACCCATCCAGGCCACTATTTTATACACCTTCTTTGGTAGTGACCTCATGGGTTTATGATTTTGTGAACTTCATCGTTGCTTCCAATAACAATGAGCTCTTAGAAATTGGGGAGTGTGGCTTATTGCAGTATATAAGTCCCTGCTCTGCCACATGTGTGACTATCGGAGAGTGGTTTAGCTTTTTCAGCCTCAGGGTCCTCATCTGTAAGTTCTTGTCTCATAGGCATTTGTAGGTGAGTAACTGAGATGGTGCTTATGAAATGTTCCAAGTAAGAGCTTTTGTGATTGGTCGTGTCCTCAATGCCAGCTGAGTGCCTAAGAGGTAGAAAGTGCTCAGAGGTGTTGAAGGGAGTGGATTGATACAGCCGACATGTCAAGACATCTGTGTACTTTAGTTGAGTTGTGGGGTTTCGTGTTGGGAAACCCTGAATATGAAGAAGACCTGATAATGCCCAACTCACTTTTCTGCTCTCTCCTGAAGTTCTCCAGTATTGTTTTGCTTATAGGCCCTCAAATTGTCTGTTTTATTTTTATCCTGAACTCTGCAGTGCTGTCGGATAACCAGCCGCAACTACTTGCCCAGTCAGGCAAAGAACTCAGATCCCAAACTGCCTCTGTAACTAATTGACCTTTCCAAAGGGTGTAGTGCTGCTGGTGCTCAAATCAGTATTCAGCCCTGGGCTTCAAAAGGTCAGAAGTAAAGAGAAGGCTTTTCTGTTAGACTCATACCTGCATCGTCCAGTATGGTAATCATTCATCAAGTGTGGCTTTTGAGCATCACTTTACAAATTAAGATGTTCTGAAAATGTAAAGTACATACTTGGAAGTCTTAGTACTAAAAAAAAAAAAAGAAACTCAGCAATTTTTATATTGATCGTATGTTGAAATGATGATATTTTGCATATACTGGGTTAAATAAAATCTGTTATTAAAATGAATTTCATCTGTTTCTTTTTGCTTTTTGAGTATGGCTCCTAGAGCGTTTAAAATTACATTTGTGGTTCGTATTTCTGTTGGACAGGGCTGTTCAGCACACATGACACACATTGGTGAGTCCAATTGCATGATAAGATTTTGTAAGATGTGAGATCTGGAAAGATCATCTATTGCAGATTGTATATATTATAGCTCCTGTGTTTTTCAGTCCCTGAGAAGTGAAGAAGTGGTTTGCTCCAGGTCACACATCCTGAATAAGACCAACATCTCCTGACCCTCAGGTCTCATGTTCATTTCACCACACTCTGATTCTGTCTCACCTTCCCTAAAAATCCTCACTTTCTCTCATTCCCTAGCTGAAGTCTACTCTTAATATGCAAATACGTCCAGAAGAGGGCAACTCCATTTGGATCAGTTGATCAGGATCTAGAGGCTCCTGAAGAATGCAACATAGAACGGATACTTTAAAATTTAAGGGTGTTGAGGAAAGCAGGAACTGGTAATCCTCTTGTGGTCAGATGGGAGGCTAGTGGGGGGTGAAAGGAAGAGGAAAAATCAGGCTACTGTGGGTAACCCCATGGGGTAGAAGGTAGGTAGACAGCAGAACAGATGGCACCTGGAGGAGGATGGAGGGTTCTGCTTCTAGGGAGGGACTAGAAGGGATAGGAAATAGCTTCTTGCAGCTAATCCCCATTCTTTTGCATGTGTATGTTTGCGCATGGGTGTATGTAGACCATTTAAAAATAGTTTTTACACATGATCCAGAATTCAAAAGTCACAAAAAGGGTATTGCGTAGAAAAGAAAGTCTACTTTTCTACCCTTGTTCTCTATCCCCCGGTTTCTACGCAGAGGCAACCACTATTGCCAGTGTGCTTATCCCTCCAGAGATAATTCTTTGATGTTGAGCTTTTCTTTCTCTTGCACAAATGATAGCATGCTATTATCCCATGACACGCTGTGCCACACTGTAAAAGAAACCGTCATCAGTCTCGGGTGTTTGTTCCCTGTCAGCACACGTGGAGCTGCCTCATTCTTAATGTTACTCCATTGTGCGATAGGATCACAGAGCCTGTCCTGGTGCCCTTTTTACCATGATGAAATCTCTCCAACCTTGGCAAAGCCTAGAAGCACAGCAACCCCAAGTTTAAGATTAACAGACAGGGGCAAGACCTCTTAACTTTACTTTTGGGGAAATACTAAGCAGGCTGCTTAGCCTGCCTGGCAACTGCCACCTCCGCACTGGGGAGATAAGAGTAGGCCATTGCACTCTGGACATCAGTTTCTTTCTAAATTTGGAAGGGCACTGGGCAGTCTCTGCCATCTAGTTAAAGCACTCCAGAAATGGCAGAAAGAGAAAGGCCTGGCATAAACTGCAAGTAGGGCACCTACCTGTGAACTGACCTTCTCTTTTTCCTCCTTGCATGGAAAAGCCACTGAGTTAATGGACTTTGGCCTCTGGAACCCACAAGTGGGGCCTGTTGGAATTCTGATTTTACTCTGGCTTAGCCCAGCTGCCTAGAGCCTGGTCAAGGTATCCCTCACCTCCCTCTTGGGTCTAGCACCTCTTTGGATCTTAAAATGTGGGCTGTTTACCAGAAAAAAATAGGGTCCTTTTGCCTTTCTCCCTCTGGAAATCTCATGACTTTGAACTGATAAGAAGTTAGCTGCTATGGGCACAATGCCTCAGGAGCCTGTCAAACCCTTCCCTGTGCCATTTCTCCAATGGTGAAGTGGGGATCCAGGTATTATTTGCCAAGCTCCCAATAAAGCAAATATTTTTCTTGCCTTAAAGGAATGCCTATATATTTTAGAAAAATATTTAACATTGCATGGAAGAAAATATAGGACTCATGATCCCACCACTCAGAGATCATCACTGTTAACGTTGATTCTTCTTTCAGTTTTATTTATTTATTTATCTTAATTTAAACACCCAACCCCTTGGCAGCCTGGGCACTTGAGAATCTGTGAAAAGATGGCAGTTTGCAGACAAAATGGTATGTGTATGACAGAGACCAAAAGGCAGTGGTATGTCCTCTGCTAAAGAGAGTGGAAGTGATCTAGGCCAGGCCAGGCCAGGGAGGTGGCTGTTCAACAGCTGCCCTCTGGGATGGTCAAACAGCTACAGGTGCAAGTGAGATTGGGTAGTGCCCATCTCAGTAACAGGGTCAAGTCCAAGCAGGTGGGGTGGGCAGTTTATGATCCACTTATTTATTTATTTATTTTTTGAGACAGAGTCTCGCTGTGTCACTCCAGTTAGAGTACAGTGGTGTGATCATAGCTCACTGCATCCTTAAACTGCTAGGCTCAAGCAATCCTCCTGCCTCAGCCTCCCGAATACCTAGGACTACAGGTGCCTACCAGTCTGCCTGGCTAATGTTTTCTATTTTTAGTAGAGATGGAGTCTTGCTTTTACTCAGACTATTCTTGAGCTCCTGACTTCAAGGGGTCCTCCCAGGGTGCCAGGATTCAGGTGTGAGCCACTGTGCCCACCCCTGTTCTAATTTTAATGCTGACCCAGACTCGTATCTAGCTCTACATATTTCCCAGCTTATATTTTCCATTAGCCTCTTCGAAACTTTAAACACTCTCTTGTCACTTTTGTACCATCTAAAGTGGGACGTGAGAACATTAGATTAGGTGGGGTTGGTTAGATGAGGAAGGTTGTTTGAAAAACAAAAGGATTGGCAGGGCGCCTGTGGCTCAAGTGGCTAAGGTGCCAGCCACATACACCTGAGCTGGCAGGTTCGAATCCAGCCTGGGCCCACCAAACAACAATGATGGCTACAACCAAAAAATATAGCCGGGTGTTGTGGCAGGCGCCTGTAGTCCCAGCTATTTGGGAGGTGGAGGCAGGAGACTCGCTTGAGCCCAGGAGTTGGAGGTTGCTGTGAGCTGTGATGCCACAGCACTCTACCCAGGGTGACAGCTTGAGGCTCTGTCTCAAAAAAAAAAAAAAAAAGAAAGAAAGAAAAACAAAAGGATTTTTGTAGACACGTCAGCTCAGAAAAAGTCCACTTTAACAACATCCACATTATATAATGTAGAGGCTTCTTAGTCAGAAAACCAATTTGTATGATCTTTAGAATGTAATGAACACATAGGTTCTTCCCCTTCCTAGAAACTTCGAGTTCTGGGGAAAACGCATTCATGCTTTTTATAGGCTTATTTTCCAGGTGCAGTAGGGTATCCTTCCTCCTTGGCTCCTGGCTCAGTCTCTAACCTCACTGACTCCCACTGTACTTCCTTAGCTAGTTTCTCTTTCTCTTTGACTTTCAAGCTTGGCATGAGGGTGCCCTGGAGGCTCTGCCTATAGCTCCTCTCTTCCTGCATGTCTCTCCCTTCTGAGTTTGTTTACTTTCATGTTCATCTCTTACCTGACCCGAATGACTACCAATCATACCAAATACTTCCTTGGCTCTAATTATTAATAGCATTCCAGCAGCAGAGATAGCTTAGACCCAGACCCCCCACTCTTTGTTCCCTAGGCAGACTCCTGGCCTGCCTTCCTATTGCTGGTCAGCTCTGCCCCAAACCCAGACCAAGGTGGGTTTGCTCATGCTCTTCCCTGCATGTCACCTTTCCATAGCCTATTCGTCCTTCAGATCCGACTTACTATTAGCCACATTTCTGCTTCTAGGAAGCCTCTTCTGGTAAGACTCTTTCTTGCACTTTAGTAGTTAAACCATTCATTTTACTGAGTCAATAGACATTTGTTTTAATCTTTAACTGTTTTTTTTTTTTTTTTGTAAACAGAGTCTCACTCTGTCACCCTGGATAGAGTGCTGTGGCATCATAGCGCACAGAAACCTCAAACTTGGGCTCAAGAGATCCTCTTGCCTCAGCTTCCATAGTAGCTGGGACTGTAAGTGCGTGCTACTACACCTGGCTAGTTTCTCTCTTTTTAGTAGACACAGGAACTTGCTCTTGCTCAGGCTGGTCTTGAACTCCTGAGCTCAATGGATCCACTCGGCTCTGCCTCCCAGTGATCTTTAACTGTTTTGAGGGGCCATTATCATATCCCTCCCACTGGATAGAAGCCTTTTGTATGGGGCAGGGACCATGTCTTCTAAAAGTAATAATAACAGCTAATATTTGGTTAGCTGTTTGCTGTAAGGTATTTGCTGTGTGCCAGGCACCTAGGTACTTTACATATATTAACTCATGAATTTTGTAACAAGCCAGTGAGATAGGTGTTATTATCTATATTTCAGAGATGACAAAACAGACACAGAAGGGCTAAGGAATTTGCCTAGTGTCACACATCCATAGGTGGTAGGGCTGAAATTTGAAGCTAGGCAGACTAGCACCAGAATTCCCCCACGCCCCATAGCACCTAGAATGAGGTTATGAATAAAGATTTATTGAATGAACTTGGATTTTGGCCTTGAGAATTAGAGGAAGGAAGAAACAGAAGTAGCAAAAGTTGATGAGTAATAAAGGCCAGTGTCAGGGCTGTAGGGAGGAGCGGGGAACACTGCAACCTTGGCATCTGTTTGAGCAGTTATCACTGCTCAGCTCCCTGCAAAGGGGAAGAACAGGAAGTGTTTCTTTTCTTCTCTACCAACAATGATAAAGACGGTGGGCAGATGTCTTTCCTTCATAGGTATAAATACAAGCTCATGCTCCACCAGATGACCCCACAGACAAGCCATGCTCTTGGTGACCAGTGGCCTCAGCTGGGTCCGCAATAAATGGGCTGCTTTCTCTGAAAGGAAGTTACCTGTATCTTGATCCCTTCCAAAGTGCTGTCTCAGAGTATTGCTCACTCTCTTCATCCATTGCCGAGCTGAGGAGCTGGTAAAATTGCCCTCGTCTCCCTACAGGAGACACCCCACCTACTCCCAGCCCCTCTGAGACTTTGAGCTGATAGTGGATGGCATCCTTCTTCCAGTGGGCACCCACTGGTCTGGAACATTCTAGGGGTCCTACATACTCCCCTCTAAAGTACTTGTCCGTATTGGGTTCTGCTT